TTAAATCAATAACCGAACTGAAAAAAAATCAATACCCAATAAACTAAAAACCGATAAGCCAATATCTTAGTGATTCTATAACGATTTAGCATCTCTACAAATTGATAATCAATAAGTTAAATCGATAAACTTCAAAATCGAATCGAACCGACTAATATACTACCATACTCATAAGGGATAGGGACAACTAATCCCGATTATAATCTTATAAAAACTTTATTTAGGTTTAATTTTGATTTATTATTTTTATTTCATGTAAAATTATAATTTGCTATAACTAATTCCGACATAATTATTCTCGATATGACTTTATCCGTAAACCAAACTTCCCTAATATATAGTCTAAAAATAAAGCAACCGAACTCATCTCTCCCAATAATAGTCGAACAAAAACTTTTTATCTCTTCCATTTTCTTCTGCTGTCTGCTTCAACAAGTACGTAAATTCAATTTTGTGCCTTTTTCTCTTAAATTTTCATCTTTCTTCTCTTCCCTGCAATTTCACTACTTTAATTGAGCTAAGTTTAGCTGTTTTTTACCTTTAAAACGAGCTAAATTTCAGTTCTTTTGGAGTTTTTTGTGCTTTTTGATTGATCAATCAGGTTAGTGTTTTCTCTTTAGGCGGATCTGAAAAGAAGAAGTTAATGGATTATTTTGGAGTACATACAGTTATTTTATCTGTAAAAGTTTGAATTTTTTCCTTTTTTTTTAGTAATTGAAAGTTTTTTGAACCAGCTGCGAAAAGCTAGCTTCGTAACTGTTCAAGCCATGGATCTGGTTTTGTGTTTGTTGTAATAAAAGGGGCATTTCTCTTTACGGGAATTGTGTTTCATTTTACTAGTGCTGCAATTTTACTATAAATTTTGAACTTTTTTCTTTGAAGCTTTGGATTGTTATTGATGTAATTGATTTCTGTTTGTTTTGTTGGTATGTCGTGTTGAGTTTTGGAAATGGGTGTCTGGAATTTTGGTTTATTTCTCCTTCTTTTTGTTACAATGTTAGATGTATTGTTAGTAGTGATGAAATGTAGCGTCTGAGCAGTAGGTTCAAAATTATGCTTGTTTGAGAATGTTTTTAGGGTTTGGTATAGAGGAAATAAACGCATTACTTCTTATTCAATGCGTTTTTGGGGTAGAATTCAGGCGCACCGATGCGTTTATGGACGTTTGGCCATGTTTTATTGCAAAATTTGAAAAAAATAGTTTTTGTTTTCAAAAGTGAAGTATGATATTTGAGATTGGAAGATCAAATTTGGAAAAAGTGAAAAAATTTCATGGCCAAACGCCTTAGGTACCGTTATGTGCATTCTGAACCAGCGCTAGAACTAAATTTTGGTAATGAAGTGTTGTTAATATGTTGTTTTGTTATGTAACAGGATTGGCAGCAGAGTTCTTTTTTCTGTGGGTTGACCTGCCCTTCTTTCTGTTGAAACAAAAACACTGGTGAAATGACTTGTTTTGGTCTCTGCTTAGGAGGGAAGGCATCTCCCCCTCACAACCGTGTAGTTGAAATTGATGAAGGTTAAAAAATTTAACTTTTTCTCAACCTTCACTTCTCTTTATGGCAATTGTTGCCAGCTTCTATGATAGTATAGCATATGTGAGCATGTTGTTACAATTAGGATTCTTTGTTCTTCTTAAGCATGGACGGACATTGCCTCTCCCATACACGATCTCTCAATAACAATTCAAGTTGTTGTGGTCTAGTGGTCAATGAAATGGGAGGAGAACCAAGAGGTCTCATGTTCAATTCCAGTTGAGGCCAAAAATCACTAGGTGCCACCATCTTCTTATCTGCCTCGTTGGTGGGAAGAGTTATCCGGTACCTGTGTTGGTGGGAGGTAACAGGTACTCGGTGGAATAATAGAGGTGCACGCAAGCTGGTTAGGATACCACCTTCATAAAAATGATTCAAGTTGTTGCTATTAATCAAGACATGTTAAGGTTCCTCACTAGATTTAGAATTTTTGCAGAAATTTCAACCATTGAGAATGCAAGGGTGTACAGCTACCGGGAATTGCGTTCTGCAACTGAAGATTTTTGCCCTGTAAACAAAATAGGGAAAGGAGGGTTTGGTTCTGTTTACAAGGTATTTTGTTCTCTACAAAAATATTTTTCAATTATGCAATTCCATTCAATAAATAAGCTAACTTAAGTTTCTGTTGTTAGGGGAGGCTTAGAGATGGAAAAATGGCTGCTATTAAGGTACTTTCTGTTGAATCAAAACAAGGTGTAAAGGAGTTTTTGACAGAAATAAAGGTGATCTCAAATATAGAACATGAAAACCTGGTGAAGTTGTACGGTTGTTGTGCGGAAGGGGATCATAGAATATTGGTGTATAACTACCTGGAAAACAATAGTCTTTCCCAAACTCTGCTTGGTGAGTTGTGAAGTCCTTTGTCATTGTTATTTTCAACTATTCTTTGGTTTGTACTTGTGGCAATGTATACTTATGTTTGCTTACTCACAGGTGGTGCACATAGTAGCCTCCAGTTTAACTGGATAACACGAACTAAAATATGCATTGGTGTTGCACGAGGACTTGCATTCCTTCACGAAGAAGTCCAGCCTTATATAGTTCATAGAGACATTAAAGCAAGTAACATTCTTCTCGACAAAGACCTGACCCCAAAAATTTCAGATTTTGGTCTTGCTAAGCTTATTCCAGCTGATTTGACCCATGTTAGCACCCGTGTGGCAGGAACACTGTAAGTTTACATATTCTTATGCTTTTCTTTTATCTTCTTAGACAAATTTCTCTAGGTGGATTATGGGTTATGAATTAAAATGAGTAAGCCATTCAGAAACAATCGAGAATGTTTTGGCTAATAATATCCAAAGAACAAGATGATGACTCATTGGCATCATCTTTTTCCTATTTATAGAGCTCCCATTTTTCCTGATCTAGCAATGTTGTAAAAGAAAATGTAGAAAGGCTATTGATAGTCTTGTGATACATTCAGCTAAAACTGGAAATAGTATATCATTATTTACTTGTTTATCATTGTGTATAAATTCTAACGTGCTTATTTATTTGTAGAGGTTATTTGGCCCCTGAATATGCAATGAGAGGGCAGTTGACACGGAAAGCAGATGTATACAGTTTTGGGATTCTCCTTTTGGAAATCGTTAGTGGAAGATGCAACACAAACAAGCGTTTACCTATTGAGGAACAATATCTTCTTGAACGGGTATGGAGTTGCTTTTAACATATTCTGTTTCTGTTGGATCCCGATTACCTACAGAACGAAAATATCTAAGAAGAACATAATTGTTTCTATACATTAATAAATATGAGGGATCTATGGCCATTGCATTCTCGACTGCTCATAGAACATGATGGGAAGATCAGCAGGGGTTGTTAAATTATTTGGTCATTTCTTTAAGAAAGTGTATTATCCTGACACTATGTTTGCATGGTTATGACATTCTTTTTATTGAGATAAATACAGTCCAGTGCTTTTGGGTGATCTAGTTTACAAACTAGCCTGCAAATGTATAGGTTTTGTATAGTTGGGTAGTGCCGGTAATTAAGTTTGGTCGACAAGACAAAAAATGAAAGAAGCCCATTCTTGTTTGCCCTTGTGCAGACAACATCCTTGAACCTAACCTTCTAAAATGGCAAGTAATGTAGTTGAAGCATCTTATATAGTCCCAAGCCCATCTATTCCATTGTTTGTATATTGTTTTTCTCAAGTGGGCTTATTAATATAATGTTAAAATCATAATTGCTTGCTCAAGAACAGAACAAAAAGAAAATAGAAATTTTGACAGTTGATGGAGCAAACATTTATCCAACCATTGAAAATGGAATTCAGATAGAAATTAGTTATAGAGGAAGTTGTATTACATTCATAACTTGAAATGCAGGCATGGAGACTGTTCAAGAAGGGGGAGCTCATTCAATTGGTAGATGCATTATTGGGAGATGACTTCGATGTTGATGATGCTTGCAAATTCTTGAAGGTGTCTCTCTTATGCACCCAAGTCATGCCCAAATGCCGACCATCCATGTCCACTGTGGTGAAATTGCTGACTGGTGAGATGCAAGTGGATGATGAAGAGATATCTGAGCCAGGCATGTTATCAGATCTAGTGAGTCTCAGGAATCAGAAGAATACATCATCAGGCTCGCTATCTACTGGCTCGGGAAAACAAGTTGACTCTTCTTCAACTGCGAACACAACAGTGACACATGGAACAATGACTTTTACGACAATAGATGACCGTAAAAGCTGAGTTAAACTCATCATGGTAAATCACATTTCCTTGACTATCTTCCTTATATCTGTTGAGTTTATTACTTTTTAGGATTTTGCTCCATAGCGTGTGGAATTAGAAGCTTTTTCACTTCATTTATATTCTAAGCTGTACATATGACCTGGAATTTGTATAATTAGATTAGGTATTCATTGAGACTATTTCCTTTTTCTTTCTATTTAAGTACATGTCGCAATTGTACCACGAGAGAATTTATCTTGGAAATGCAATCATTTGTAACTTGTAAGCATAAAGCTTCCATGGAACTTCCAGTATTAGTGTACAAGTACAGAACAAATGCCTTGAGCAATTTCTCCTTGCACATCATTTATTATCTTGCCATACTATTCACATGGTCACCAGCATCATTTATTATCTTACAATAGTATTCACATGGTCACCAGCAGTACACACTAAACTATACCTATGCCTGAAGGCTATGTTGCTCGGATTCTTCAAAAGTGGTGCTGCACCTGTGTTGGACTGTACTATTGTGGAGGATCCGACAATATTTTTGAAGAGTCTTAGCAAACATAGCCTGAAGGACATAAGATGACATGGATAGTGAATGACAAAGAAATGAGTCTCCTTATGCTGTTGGTTTGCTCCTGGACCAAAGTTTATAGGACCTAATCCTTACAGAATTATAACAGTTGGAAACTTTTATTTCATATGAACTCAGAACATGAAAAATGAATATTCACCTCAATGACTAATACATCTTCTTCAGTGTAAACTACATGTACTTGTCCAATCAATTTAATCATCAGAAAACGAACAAATGAAAACTGTAAAAATACAAAAGAATGAAAAGCCTAGTTTCTGGTTCTGTAACATCTGCACCATAAAATTAGATAACAGAGAACTCTGTAACCCAAGATGAAACTCAGCATCACTGCTAAGTTGGTCCATTTCAGTGATTCTTTGAGGTCTTGCTGTTTCAAGAAGTCAATCGCGAACAACTTGCACTCTCCTCTTTCACTTTCTAAACATCTTTTCCCTCCCTTGCCTCCATACTCATTTATCAAGAAGCACTCGAACGGGTACTTAAACAGACTTAGGTAGTGCATGAAGATCCAGTAACTAGGTATCTTCTCTTTTGAAAGGAAATAGCCTGAGAACAGAAAGAAAGACCCCATCAAGCCAGCTATAATAGATGTTCCCATGATGAAGGTTGGGACAAGTGCGCTGAAACATGCAGTGAAAGAATTTGACATTAAGAGAACTATCCAGACCACCATAGCAAAGTAGAGGAACCCATCCATGCTTCCCCTCAGACCAACGAGCCAGTAAACCGGGACACTGTAGAGAAGCCCAACCATTAAGAGGAATGGAAGAAAGACAATTGTGTTTGCCACAACATAAGAGGATACTCTGTATGCTCCTCTTGAAGTCTCCCTCATAAAGATTGTTCTCTCTTGTAAGAAAATGGGTAAACCTTCTGTCATGGTGGACAGCAAGAATGTTAGGCTGAACGCGAAGAATCCTAGTCTTGTTTGTAAAGCAACCTGCCCTAGATTGTTGTCAGCATTCATGAATATTGATCCCAGTATAAAGCCTGCTACCAATGCTTGTATTATTCTGGTTGCAAAAAGTTGCTTGGTTCTGAATATGTTCTTGCAAAATCTTCCTCCTAGTATTGAAATCTCCTCAACGTAGGAATTTGCGTAGGAAGGACACTTATCTACCATATCATTGTGGTTGGAAACTGTAAATCCCTCATCATCTTTCCTTAGACTTTCCTTCTTTTCGCCATGATCCTTGATTTGGAAATGGACATTGGGAGTTTCTGAAGTATGAATGACAAGGCTGCCTGTGACATCAATAGCAAATTCAAGCACATTGATGTGGGGTGGAATCTGTAGACCGGAAAACTTGATCCTCTCTTCGAGATACTCCAACGAGCCATTGTGAAGTACACCCCCATTCGAGAGCAAAACAAGTCGATCAAACAGTTCAAGAATCCGAAAACCAGGTTGATGGATAGTCAAGACAATTGTCTTGCCTTGATGAGCTACCATCACTTGAAGAAGTGATATGACATGAAGTGCTGATGCTGAATCCAGCCCAGAAGTTGGCTCATCAATGAGAATCACAGCAGGATCATGTACTAACTCAACTCCAATCGACACCCTACGCCTTTCACCACCCGAAATTCCCCTGTTTGATCCTCCCCCAACTCTTGCACCAGTAACCTGTTCCAAACCAAGCTCCTTGATCAACACTCCAACTCTATTTGCAGCCTCTTTTTTCCCACCTTGTAGCCTCAGAAGAGCACTATACATGAGTGTTTCTTCAACTGTGAGCAGAGGAAACAGGGCATCTTCTTGTGTCACATAACCGGATAATCTCCGAAAACACTTGGCATTCACAGGATGACCATTAACTAGTACCTCTCCAGTAACTTTTGTTGGTGATATTTTCCCTGCAAGAATCTCTAGCAGTGTTGTTTTTCCAGCCCCACTAGGACCAGCAATAGCTGTAATCTCTCCTGGCCTTGCTTCACAATTTACATCCTTTATGATGAACTTCTGAGGTCTCTTAGGATTCTTGCAGCAAAAAATCCAACTCAACTCATCATATAAACTAGGAAGTGCATAAGAAAGATTTTTTGTTTCTATAGTATAAGAACCTTTCTTCTTGCCACCAGAATCCGGTGTCGTGACCGGAAGTTCCATTGTAGAATGAGATGAAAAGAGGGTAGAGAATCAAAATCTAGAGAGGGAGGTGAGAAGATGAGCTAACACACCAACCATAATAGTCCCTTTGTGTAATATTTGTATGGGAAGAAAATAAAGTTGTTAAGTGTTTAAAAGGAGCTTTCTTGAACTTCTTGGCTTCCCCAAAAACTTGTTTGTTGTTGTTGTTGATTATTAGAAGTAAAATGAAGTTTTTTTTTGGTGAATTGAAGCTAATGTGTTTGAAGCATAAAGGAGAAAAAAGAGGTTTCTTCTTTGTGATTAGTCTTGCAGGTAAACTGTATTGTTGACCATGCAGCCTCTTTTCTTGATTGCATAACTAGTCTTTCTTTCTTCTCTACCTGCCACCTCTATTCTTTCTACTTGTCTCCATTCTATTCCTTCCGTCTCATTCTATGTGACATCGTTTAGCTTTGCACGGTGGGTAAGAAAAAAAAAAAGACTTTTTTAAATGATCGCGGTGTCCGGGTCTGGGTGAGCTTTCACGCATCTCAATTAGTTCCTTTTAAAACTTGTGGTCTAAAACAATACTTAGATAAAAAAGAGAATTTTAAAGTTAAATTATTTCTAATTATAGTAAGGTGATACTTCCTCTGTCCACTATTAATTGTCATACTTTCCATTTTTAGAGTCAAACTATAAAAACTTTGACTAACATTTTAGGATATATTTTTTCATCGTATTGATATGTAAAAAATTGCAATGTATAGTATTTTTCGTATAGTTTTTGAATATCTAAATTTTTTATTTAAAAAATTAAATTAATGTAATCTAATTTAACTTTGAAAATAAGTCAAATTGACTTTCAAAAAGCGCAACATGACAAATAAAAGTGGATGGAAGGAGTATTTTTTTTTGGAATGGACTAAAAAAAAGGTGTTGTATAAAATGGAACGAAGGGAATAATATTTTTTTCTTCCTTTTGAATTTTCTTTTTGACACTTAAATCCATTTACAATCACACAATTGTTTAGGAATTATTAAATCAAAATATCTGCTCCCTAGTAAGGAAATTGTGTCATGCAATAGCTATGTTGTTTAAACTCTTCACTAATGATGATGATTAATCAATACGTATCGGATCCTATAGTTTTAAAAAGTTCGAGCAACATTCGTTGTGTATTAAAATCTTATATGCACATAACGTAATTAATACATGACACATGTAGTTAATACATTCTTAACACGAAATTATAGATTATTAATACATATTTTCATTTTATTTTATAAGTTAACAATGATAAATTAGTATAGTTTGGTGTAACTATGGGTGAAAATTAATTAGTATAGTTTGGTGTCTCTTCATCCATCAATATTTAATAATTAATAAAAACATAAAAGAAAGGTATATTCAAATTATTAAAATAATCATACCATATTCTTGGTACAACTTAAATGAATATTTTGCTAATATGAGTTTGCTTTGTTTAGTTAATCTTAATATAATTCCATAATGATTAATCGTTAGTCCTAATATGAAATTTGTCCATAAATATCTTATGATAATTTGTTAGAGGGGAGAAGAAAAAAATAATAATAAAAATGCATTCCTAAATTAGGTCTACATATTTTCCACACGCTTTAGCAATAATAGCATAACATAAACAGTAAATAAAACGTCATAATCCAAACCAACTCTCATAGATTGTTCCAAGCAAAATAATGACGTGTCCAAGCAAGCCATCCCTCTAGTAAACAATTTATTTTTCTTAATTAATCGCGATGGTACGTGAACTAGCTTGCACGTACCTCGATTATTTCATCGATATCTGTTGTCACTTGTCATGTATTTAACCAACATGAATATCGGACAATTCTCTCTACCAATAAAGGTAACGTTGTAAGTCTACTTATGTGTTCGACAAAAGGAGTAGTTTTGGCCTAGAACCATAAGTTTGTATTAAAAGATTTACTAAATATTTATAAGTAATTTAGTCATAACACATTAAATTGTCATTTCTAGAATCAAGAACTCATAAATTCAAAATCATAACATTGCTATAATCCATCAAAACTTTGACAAATATAAAACAATTATCACCCACATAAATTGTTTTTTTTTTTTTTATCTCCGCTAGAATTTGAAATGATTCTCTCCACCTCATTGACCATGACAATAAACAAGTATTAGATAAAAGATGTTGTACTTGTCTTGAATTTGGAAGAAACAAAGTAATAGTAATGCAGATATTATTCTTCTGCACTTTTTTTAGGTAGAGAGTAGTAATAAAAAAAAGTCACAACTTGGACTTATAGGGTTCAATAATATTTTTCAATAGTTAGGTCTTGACAAGTATCAGTGGATAAATAGTAATCAAATCTAGGCTCACATATGTGCTTTGTTAAGGGAAGGGCATAGATAGTTAGAAACAATGGCGGAGCTAGAATTTTTAATAAAGGGTTTCAAAATTTGAAGAACTAAACACACGAACTAATCGAAGGGGATGCGACATCTATTATATATACATAAAAATAATAATTTTAATCATATATAAATAGTGATATTTTCCGCTGAAGGGGATTCGGATGAACTCCCTAACAGAATAACAGAAGGCTAGCTCCGCCCCTGGTTAGAAACATATGAATATCAAAACCATGGAGGGATCCGCACCTAAAGATCTGACTTAGTGATTAATAAAGTGATTGAGAATGATAAGATTTCAAGTTCAATTCTCAACAAAGACATGAAATGCCACTAGGGAAATCTATCCTATCCCGAACACCACGGTTATTTAAACAAAAAAACCTCTATATAGCCCAATGATTATGGTCAAAATGACTTGAATATATCAGAAACTAGATTATTATTATTTTTGGGTATTAATATAAGAAAATATTATTTATTATACTGTAATACATTTATATTAGTTGTTGAATCGTTGTAACTTATGAGTAACTTCTCAAAAAGTCATACCAAGGAACTAAGAAAAATTTGATTTTATTTGGTTGATTATATATGTGGTATAGCTAGTTTTAGTTTTAAAATCTTTCATAAATTACTACTTATAATATTTATTTAGTTGGTCGAATAAGAAAAAATAATTATTGCATAGTTTACTGCAGTGCTTAATTGACGGTATCAAATAACACTCACATTGAGTTACGAAGGATTTATGTATTAATTATTTATACGCGATAAAATATGGAATAAGAATATAGGTATTACTTATTAGCAATACAAGAATTAGAGTATATTTAAGAGAAAATTGTGAGTAAATCTCATCTTTATAGTATTAATAATAATTCCTTTATTGTGTTAATCGCCGCATAACACTTCATTTATCTACACTACATATAACAATTTGTTATTTATTAATTAATCACTATATTGCTCGTCAAATGGCTGGATCATTAATTCATAACGTCTAAATTTTGAATTTGTCGTTGTAGTTTTATCATCTCATTATGCAATATAGTGAACGCGAAATTGATCATTTTTCATTTGTTTGCTTTTTTCTATCATATGCAAATCATATTTACTGCTATGTTGACTGCTTTAGGCCTACAGTCTACTTCTGTAAGTTTTCCATTTTTGTTACCAAATTTAACCTTGCAGTTATGTAGAAAGCAATAATTATTACTCTCTCCGGTTTATATTATATTATATATGGACGATGTTTTTACATAATCAAGAAGACATTAATATTTTTCTTTCTATTTTATGTTTATTTAAATAAGTTAATCTTACGTAATGAAGAAATCATATTAAATAGATACTACTTAATCAAGCATAATTTTGTGGAAATATTTTTTTTACTTTCTAGAGTTAGAATAATTTTTTTAAGAGATGTACTCAAGCTAAAAATATTATGTAATATGGAGTAAAGGAAGTAGTTTCTTTTAAAACACCGTCGTATAAAATGAAACAGACTTACAGAGGCAATATAAATAATCTTAGAATATGAGGTTTTAAATCGTTTTTGCTTATGTCCAACAAATTACAAGCAAAAAAAGAAAGTACTACACACATAACACATTTTACAATAACATTTATGAACTAAATTTAATTCCATTAATCTTGCAGAATCTTTTTCTGAAAATTTGCATCAAATATATTGAGCTACTGAAAGTGCAAGGAAAGGCAAGTAAAATTGCCCCTTCTGAAATCCCATAAATGCATGAAAAGAACCAAAAAAATAAAATAAGTTCTAAAAATATTTATTGTCACTATTACTTGATTAATGTGTTACGAGGATTTATCATAAATTGACAACTTTACATTCGTTATCAGTCTATCATAATTCTTTTCTTTTATTCAGGCTTGAAATCGATAGTGTGAGCAAAACTCATTTATCAGAGTTTTATATGCTAGTAGAAATATACTATAGTGAACTTCTAACTAGTACGTTTCGTTTCTTATTTTTGAATTTGGTCTAACATTGACTCAAGATGAAGCGACATATTCACTATTTATTCTTATAATCGATCCCAACTGGCTTGAGATTGAAACGTAATTGTTATTGTTGTTACTTTATAATTTAATCAAAATTAAGTTTTTCTTGGAATGCTAATCTGGATGATCTTTTAGGATTTGACAATGCACAGCTTAGCAACCCTAAAAACTCATAAGTATTCATCAGCTTTTCGATTATATGTAAAATCAATTGCTTTTCTAGTTAATATGATTAATTATATTCTGCAACTTTGACTGCCTAGACCTGCAATTGACATATGATATCCCATCAACATACCAAATAGGGGTGGCAGTGGAATGGTTATGAATTATGATCTTCCGTCTTTAATTAGGTGTTTTGGATTTGAGTCTTTGAAATGATTTTTTTTTGTTGGGAGCAAATTCCTAGAAATAAGTTCTACAATTCGCGAATTTAAATATTGTAGACTCTAATATGGATATTGGACACTGGATGAAAAAAATAAATATCCCACCAATGTACCAAACAGGGGTCGTGTGGTGGGATGGTTAGGATCCTCCGTCTTTATCAGATGTTTCGAATTTAAGACCTTGAAAATAGAAAAAAATCTTGTTGGGAGCCCCGAATCTTGCAATGCGCAAGTACTTCCCTTTTGACTTTGTAAAAAATGAGTCAAAATTTTAAATTTGTTTTCACTTCAAAACTCAAAGATCTTTCAAGAATATTTTTCCTTAAATGTTTGCATTTCCTAAATGCATTAGAAATATGGCT